ATGAGAATGTGAACATGATTAGCAAATAGTAACGCTTATATAACATTACTTTACAGTTGGTTGGAAGCAAAATTGTTTTAAGTGGTATAAAGTGGGCAAGAGGCATAGGAGTGGATAGAGCTCTAGAGCTTAAATATATGATGAGTCAATATGCAATATGTACAAATACCCAAGAATAAAGTCATTTTCTTACTTTGGCCACTGGGTGGCCATATTGAATAGCTTATTTATAGTTCAAATGTCTAGACTTCAGAAAAGCAAGTTAATACTAAATAGAATATGTGCTTAGAACAGGTAATGCTTGGTTCCTGACTCAGATCTCTGAATCCCAATCTGTTAAATTAAAAAGTTACCATAATTTGGCCCATCCTTCAAGGAGAAACACTTAGACCAGAGAAGTGAGTAGAAGGAGAGATTCCATCTAAGAGTGGTAGGAGGAATATCCAGCTCATGATAAGACATTTTGTGGGAAGCAGGTATAACCAGAGTCTTAAAAAGTATATTTTAACCAGGCAGAGAAAAAAGGTGAGAGGAAACAGCTTATGTTAACCCATGAACACCTGAAAAAGTGTGCACCATTTGGGTTTCTGCCAAAAAAATTCAAAATGGTAGAAACAGAGAGTTCTAGAAACAGAAGTGATAGCCAAGACTCTCCCAGGAAGACATATCAGTATCATGTGAAGAGTTTGGAATGCATCTGCAAGGGCTCCCAGAAGCTATTCAACTGCTTTGTTCACTTCTATTGTTAGGCAATTCTAGAGAATTTTGTTTATCTCTGATTTTGTGTATTTTTCTTATAAAAAGTTCCCTCTGACTGCAATGAGGAAAAAGTATTGTAGGGAGGGACAAGTTTGGCTATAGGTAAACCTACTGGAGAAATGCAATTATTATGATGAGGAATGGGAAGTACTGCAGTGGCACTGGGGAAGGAGAGACAAGAGGACCCAATAAATTTAAGGCAGTGAATCTTTGTTGTCTGTGGGAATGAATGAAGAAGAATCACAGGAAGTCTTGTGCTGTTGGCTTAGATACACAAAGTAATGGTGTCACATTGAGTTGGAAAGCAAATGAGAGAAATAGATTTGGGGAAGATGATGATTAGGGAATAATTGACTTCATCATAGATTAGCTAGGTCATTTTGAACAAATGACTGAATGGACTGTTTCAAATTCTCTCCCTGCAAAATGAGGCAACTATAAGCCTACCTTGTGGTTTTTAAGAGTTGACCAGGTGATAATGTGTAAAGTCTAAACTGAGCATGTGCACATTTTCTCAAACTAGTCAAAATTCCAATTGTTCATCCCAGACATATATGATTGGTAGATAATTTAAGGATGCAGTTGAATCATGTTTATCCACATAGGATAATGGAAACAAAACTATTCAAGAGTTTTTTTTTAATAAAGATGCTACTTTATTATCAGTAGCCTCTACTCAACATTAAAGAAAAATGGTACATTTACTATGCTTGAAAAAGATCTTAAGTAAATAATTCTTTGAAATCTTTTTTGGTTGCTTTTTGCAAAGCTTCCTCACTTTTTTTTTCTTTTTTTTAATTAGCAATGCCAATTCAAGCCCACCAACACATAGAGTGTACTTACAATGTGTCAGGCACTATTCCAAGCAGTTTCCCTGTGTGATCTCATTTAATCCTCACAAGAACTTTGTGAGATGAATAGTGGAAACTGAGGTAAAAAGAGTTAAGAACCTTGTCAAAGTTATGAGCTAATTAACACAGTCAAGATTCAAATCCCATAGCTGCTTTCAATGTCCATGCTATGCTGATTGCTAATTCTCCTTTTGGAATTATGAAACATTTTGTACTAGTGAAGTAGTCTCTACAGAAAGATTTATTTACCCATTTACTACATATTCTATAACTGTGTTTATCTTTGATATCAGAAATTATCACTCTATAAACATAAAATTTTATTAAGCTGAAGAATTTTGGAGGAAATTTGAGATGACCAACTTCATTTGATAATGTTTCCTGACTGCTGGAATGAGAGATTTCTATTTAATCAATAAAATAGTTCTGTAAAACACCAAAAAGATGGTTATATTTTAGCGTGTGTCTTTTAGTACTTGCTAGATGTCTATTCAGGCAGAAAAATTAGTTCTAGTTAACGATTTCATCTTTATTATTTGCTGCCTTCCCTTTATCAAATTCAATTTTTCAATGACTTATTTAAAAAACAAATTCTTTATGTTTGATATTCTTTAGTACACAAGGTTTCGGCTCCAACACAGCATGAAAGTTAAAACCTTCTCTATGGGTTAAAAAATTATTATTTCAGGTTAGTTTGAATGGATTTATGGCTGCCATTTGCAAATACAGTCCCAAATACTTGTAATACATCAAAAACTGAGAGCTCCCTTAACAAAGGGACCAATGAATTTCCAGAAGAGGATCAATGAGAGGCAGTCCTCATGGTAAATTGCTAAGAGCCATCGCCAAGTAGTATGATGCATTTTTGGTTGAGGGGTGGCGCCAGCAAGCCATTGAGATGATACGATTATGTTAAAATCTGCATTTATATGGATATTGGACTCCTGCTGTCCATCTCGGCCTGCTAAGGGACTCCTGGAGAGTTCCCATTGGTTGGGGAAGTGCGGTAGGAGGGAATTCCAGAGGAGGGACTTCATGTTCGGACCACATGTGTCGGTAGGCAATTTTCCGGGGAGTGTACGGGGCATTGGCGGCAGTTTCAAAAATAAAGTTTGTTCCTGCTTGAGTGGCTCATGATTTTGTGCCCAGCCAGACTGCAGCAGTAAATCTGTGGGCTAGCATCTCCTCATTCAAATGTCTCTATAGCTGACTCAATTGTTCTTACACTACCCTCCAATGGTATTTCTTGTGTATTGAAAAGGAAGTATCTTTTTTCTCATTAACTTTATTGATTTTTAAGTAGCAGGGGCAAGGCAACTACCTGTTGATGTAGCTGGTAAAGCACATGGTGTGGGCCTCCCTGGGCACCAGTGCAGTGGCTCAAAAATCATTCTAGGCATCTCTTCCCTCTATTATCTTTATTTTTTGTACCAGATCTCACAATCTGTGACCCCTCCAGCTTCTTGTCTTCCTATAGCCCCATTTGGACAGATATTATAGTTTTAAACTATTTACCTTGCCTCTGAATTGACACATTTTAGCCTCCTTTTTCTCTAATAATTGGCTAATTCCGAACACTCTAAACAAGGGAAAAGTTGGTCTCTTCTTGGGATGAGTTCCCATTAGAATCTATTCCTTATTTCTGACTCTGCTTATCAGAGAAGGATATTGAACAAGTGTGCTCAAAATGGGGTAGAAGGAATGAGTAATTATTACACTAAGGGACATGTATTTTTTTTCTGTTGCTATAACAAAATGCCTGAGTCTAGGTTCTTTATAAAGAAAAGAGGTTTATTTACTAGCTTCACAATTTTGAGGTTGCAAGTCCAAGCAACATGGCACCTGTTCTGGCAAGGGTCTCCATAGTTCTATCACATTATAGCAGATGGCATTTGTGATGGAAATGACACAGAGGGAGAGATTACTTGCCAATATAGGAAGCCAGAGTAGGGGGACAATCTTGTTCTTTTATAAAACAGTTTCTCTTGTGGGAACTAACTGGGGTCCCATGAGTACTGCCCTAGTAACCTAACTTTGTGCTAGGCTCTACCTCTTGAAGGTTCCACCACCTCCCCAACATTGCCACACTGAGAATGAAGTTTCTAACACATAAACCACTGGGGAACAAACTACATCCCAACCATAGGAGGACCCAAGGAATATCCATTGTACCAGAATCTGCAACTCTAGTAGGAAAGGGTGATTTGAAAATAGAGCAAATTTTCTATGGTATTCCTTAGGTTTAGGAAGAATGGCACACATAGGCACAGAGAACCACTCTCAATTTTTTTTTTTTAAAGTACCAATCGAGATCTTATGGTAATCAGAGAATGCTTTTCTAGCAGGACCTGGTCTCTGAACCACTTTAGGAACATGTTTGCTTCCTTAATTTTCCTTTTTGTCTATTTTCTATATCATGTTCGCATTTAAAACCAACAGGCTTTTCTTTTGAAATGTTCATCTCTATGCCTCAGACCATTCCCACTATTTTTAGTGCAGGCTCACATCCCATAAATGACTGCTATCATCCTATCCTTACCCCCCCCCCCCTTATCTGACCTCTGTCATCCTCTTGTGCACTAAATGCTAGATTAATAATTGATGACTCAGTTTATCTCAGATCTCCTTGACCCAGTTCACAAACCCCTCCCTCACCTCACTCCCAACTGTGGCCTTGAGCATTTGTCTCACTTCCCAGAAAATGATGGTTCTATGACTGTGGTCACAAAGCTCCAGCTGCTATTCCTGTAACCATAACCACAGACTTACAGGTGGTTGGTTCCAACCTGTACCTGTACCCTCACTGGACTGGACCCAGCTTATTCAACTCAGAAGCAAAGGGATGTTGACCTCTTGGAGCCAACTGAGGTCAATGTGAGTCAGGAAACAGAGATACATTGCTTGCACTGCTCTCCCACCACTTGGGCTGTTTTAAGCTACACTAGTTTCATGTAGCCTTATTGAAGATAGCCTGCAAGATCAAGCAATCCCTGGTTTTTTTTTTTTGTTGTTGTTGTTGTTTTGTTTTGTTTTTGTGTGTGAAGCTATGGCCAGATCAGGGTTGTAGCCTCTCACGTTTGGCCTCCTCTCTTTCTTGCCTCTTCCTCTATTCCCTCACTTTTTATTCCCTAGGATTATGCCCCCAAAATCATTAGTAATATGCTTTATCTTAGGCTTTATTCTGGGTGACTTATGCTAAGATAATCATCTTATTTCCATAGGATTCTTCTGCAGAGTTCCCTCTTCTTAATGAGCTAGCTTTCAAGGAACTCTGCCTATTTCTTCCCCTACCTAGACAACCTTGTTTTATTTCTAAGTGCCTTAGTGCATGCAGTACTCTACTCATACATAAAACAGACTATATTTTCATGACTGCTGTTTCCTACTTACTATATTTTAGTATCATTCTATGTATTCTTGTCTTGTTGCTCCAAATAAATTGTAAATACCTGAGGGTTAAAAACCATGTCTTTTGTATTTTGACATTCTCCTTGGCACCTGGAATAGTTGAGAAAGGATTAGTTTATAACGGTTCATTATGAACTTATGTATGTGTAAACCATATTTCTATATACTGAGGTAAACATGGTCACCTCTTAATCATACACTAAGGTGAAATGCTGCTTAGAAAAAGCCATCGTCAGATTTCAATGAAAAGGAAAAACAGTACCAATGGAAAATAGCAATATATTAGAAGAACATAAGACCAATTTCAATATTTTTCCTAAGGGATCCCTATTTCAACTAAAAATACTATTTCACAGTCATTACATTATAATTTTTGACTATTAAAAAATCTTTCCTCATTTTTATGGATGATATAAAAAATGTTTTTCCTATTAGATTTGTCATTTCTTATTCTCTAAACACAATAATACATTATAACACCTCATTTCATTTCTTTTAATTTTTTAAGTTCTATTTCATATATTTTTCTCATCAGATCTTTGTAGGCATGTGAGACAAAACAGCTCATTGTTCCCAGTTGATTATGATAGTTAACTAGCCAAAGGCTACAAGATTAATAAGGATCTGCTTGGATTTTCTGATTGCTGGTCCATAGCTCTCCTAAAAAATTTTTCAAGAAAGATTAGACAAAGCAAATTAGTTGTGATCAATGGAGGAGCTTTGGGTCTTCTTAATTCCATGAAAAAAATTCAACATATGAATAAATTATGTAATAATCCTGTGACCACTTGCCTACAATAAGTCTATTTTCTAAGTATTCCTTCCTATATTATTATCTGGCACCAAGAGAAGAAAATTTGATAACACAGAAGAGCAAATTTTAAAATATTAGGAAGGGCTGGAGGTATAGTTCAATGGAAGAATACTTGCCTAGCATGTGTCAGACCCTGAGTTCTATCCCCAGCACTGAAGGGGGGAAAAATGAACATGAGTGAATCTAAGAGATACCTAATTAAATTTTTGTTCAGTCATTTTATAATTTATAAAACTCTCAAGAGAACCCACAGCTTAAGTTGTACAGCAGGTGGTACCAACACCAATTTCATTTTAAGTCACTTTCTCTTACCATGCTGACTCAAGTGGAAAGTATTGAAACAGAGGATCAGTATTATTTCTTTCCCAAAGATGAAAAGCTTTTGTGTGTGCATAAGCAACTAGAAAATATGATAAAAAGAAAGTGGAGATAAAAGGTAATAAACTTGTGAGAAGACATAATTGCTAAATAACATGGAGAATGCAATACTGGAACAGAATGCTTGATGTTTATAAAACTAATTTGTCAGGTAGTTGTGCAAGAATAAAAATAAAACTTATCTTCTTGGTGACCATGGTTGGGTATTTTGAATGGATGAGAAAATATAATTTCCTTAAAAGGCTTAGTCATCTTGATCTGACAATGCCAAAGGAAGAACAAGAGAAAAATTCCAGGTTGGGGAGAGAGGTTTACAAAAAGTAAGGTATATTGCCCAAGGCCAGAAAGCAAAACTTGTAGGTGTTAGAGTAAGGTGGATTCCCTGAACTACTAGCATTCTACTATTTCTAGCTTATTTTTCATGTTGTCTACTTTGGCTCAGTGTGGATTTAACTTTCTCTCAACCCTGAATTTAAAAACCTCTAGATCAGAGCAGTAGGTCTCTTTCTCTTGGTACAAATACTACTTCCAAAGGCTAGCTCTTGAAATAGCCAGGTACCAAATCTCCCAGGAGATTGTTAAAAATGCCAGTTTCAAGACTTGACCCTCCAAGACATTGATCCAGTAGGCCTGGGATGGAACTTGGGAATCTGTATATAAGACTCCATTTTTTCTTTTTTTTTTAGTCAGTTCTGGGGATTGGACCTAAGGCCTCTTGCCTGCTAGCTGTACTACTGAGCCACATCCATAGGCACCATCTGATTTTAACTGACTTTGAGAATGATTGGTCAGATCTCCTAAGTATTATCTCATGGCTATTTGCTCATTTCCCAGAATTTTTCTCCAGTGCAGACATAAAAGTAATCACAACAGGTGTCTCAGAATCCTTCTATGTCAATACTTCCCCAAGATGCACTGCAGATTCCTTTTGATTGTGCAGTCAGCACCTAAACTAATCAATGTAGAGGGGTGGTCCCCCCTCATCTCTGACAGCACATTTCTGTTCTATCCCCCCGGGAGTCTATGCATCATGACCTCTGTCCTTTGCAGTAGACCAACAACATTGCTATTCTCTGTTTGTATAGACAGTGCTATAGGACTAGAGACATTTAAGGACCTCATTATTCTATGGAATTATTCTCCTCAATAAAAAGGCTTTCACACATGTGGCAGTGTTTCAGTGGTTTAAAATCTCCTTCTTTTCTCATTGTGACATTCTTTTCTTTGCACATTTGGGTGTTTTTTGTTTGTCTGTTTGTCTGTTTCTGTTTCTGTTCTGGCTTTTCTTTTTTATCCTAAGAAGTCTATAAAAGATACAAATTTGGGTATGGTGGTAATCCTAGCAGCTAGGGAGGGAGACTAGGGCAGGAGGATTACAAGTTCAAAGGCAGCCTTGGCAATTCAGCAAGGCCCTAAGCAACTTAGCAAAACCATGTCTCAAAGATAAAAAGAGCTAGGTATGTAGCTCAGCGGTAAATCTCCTCTAGGTTCAATCCCTGGCACCAAAACGGGGAGGGGGGGAGAAAGAAAGAAAAAAGAAAAATAGGAAAATAAAGGAATTTGCCTCAAGCCCCCAGAAGGGAGAACAGTGTCTCTATATATGTGTGTGTATATATACATATACATATTCATTTTTATATACATCTGGAGTTTACCCCCTAGGCAAGGAAATAGCACCTTTACTAAAAATCAGTGCTACCTGCCTTTTATGTATTAAATCTCACATTATTTAGAGATCTTTCTAAATCAACATTTCCTTATCCCTTGGCACCTGAAGACTTTCAGGAAAAATGCTTGGTTGCCTCAGTCTGGGCTCTAAAAATTGCTTGCCTTTTTTCCTATCATGCTCAGGACCTGCCAATGAGGAGCTTGTAAACTGCCCCCACTTAAAAACCAAATTGAATGGTGGGTTTGAGGTAACATTTCATAAATAGTACTGCAGAGAGTGTCATGCACAAAGCTACCCAGTGAGAAAGCCAGTGAGAGTGACAAGATAAAGAGCAGTTTTCCAGTTTATGTAGGCAGCTCTGATTTTCACAAGATTTTACTTATTCAAAGCTTTTACTCCTATCTTTCCCCTTGTCTTTTGCAAAATCTTCTGTTTCTTACAATTCAACAAGCTATAATAATGCCATGTTTTTGGGCACTGGAGGCACAACATTTCAGTAAATGGCTGAAAGCAAGGTCATTTGAAAACAAGGTCTTAGAAATCTGAGAACCGTGTTTGCCCAGGAGTAGACAATTACTCCGACTCCAGAGCCCAGTGGGAAGTATTGGGCAGATAGTTTCATCATGAAAAAGGAGGCAAAGTGGAAACCTATGATACTTCTTCATTTTCTCCTATGATGGAGAGCAAATTGAAGCCTGATGCACATTAAACTTATGGCATTTTCTGCATGAATAAATGTTCTGGGACAAATCACAGCTTAAAAGCAGACAATCAACAAGTCAGAGGTGTCTAAATCTTTGTTAAGTATTTGAGTAGTCCTAATGTGTAGGGCCCTGAGCTTAATGCTGTGAAAGCCAACTCATAAGCTATCGTCCTTAATGTAGAGGGGAAAAAGCAACACAAAAAGACAAACCAGAATACAAAATTGGATAGTTGAAATGCCTAATAAGACATACAGATGGAACATCATAGGAACTCAGGGAGAGGGAAGGTCTGAGAACTGGAGAACTGGGAAAGCTTTACATAAAGGAGTAGGACTGAAGAAGGTCAAAAACAATTTAAAATTTTGCCCAGCATATATATGTCTAGTAATTCCATATTTACTACTTTGGGCAGTGCCGTTTAGAAAAATATGCTATGTACCAAATAGATTACTTAAATTCTACTAACAGCCACACTTAAAAAATATAAAGAGGGCTGGGTTATGGCTCAGTGGTAGAGCACTTGCCTCACCTCACATGTGTGAGGCACTGGGTTCAAATCTCAGCACCACATATAAATAAATGAATAAAATAAAGGTCTATCAACAACTAAAAATATTTTAAAAAGTATAAAGAAATCTATTAATTCTAACAACATTTTAACAGTTGCAGACAGCATGCTTGCGTCTTCCCCCAAATGCACATGTTGAAATCTCAACTTTCAGTGACATCTCAGTATAGATTGGCAATGTTTCAAGAGCTCCAGAGATGTGTGTGACTAATAGTTACTATATTGATCAGTATAGCCCTAGATCAATTCTGTACTTTGGGTAGGAAGAGATATTATAAGGATATGCTTTGAAACATTGATTATATTAGAGTGAAAACCAGGAAATAACCTGATGTTTGTCAAGAGAAGGAAATGGATAAAAAAAAATTGAGCAAAAGGACTGAAGCACTGCTTGGACTCAAATTAAATTCATGTTTGTGGTGACTTCTGGGAAGGAAGTGAGATGAACTGAAAAAAGAAATACGTAGGCATGGATTTTATCTGTAATACTTTAATCCTTAAAAGATGGATTAGAACATATCTAAAAATATTAATACTTGTTCGTGTTGCAGGGTAGATACGTGGGTACTTGTATTATCATTTGCACTTTCCTGTATTTAAATAATTTATAAAACAAAACATTGAGGATATGGAAGTAGCAAGTAGAAGACAATTTGAAGGCTGGCTGTTTAAATAAAGAATAGAAAAAGGAGTCACAAGTCAAGGGACAGTTGGGGATGGTGATTAGATTTCCAACTGATGGAAATGATCCAACACTGAATGAGAGAAATGATAGCCAAAAAGCTTTTATATTCCTTGCATATCTGTGATAGTTCAACTTTGCAGCCTCATTATGGGGGAATGTTGATGAAGCAAAGGGTTTTATAGAACAAGGGAGTAATGCTTTGGAAACATCAATGATACTCAATGTGTACCTATTCTAGCATCTGGTCCTGGGGTATTTGGTGTGTTAAAAGA